TGTTTCTCATACAAACCAGTCAGTGATAGCAGCTGGAGTGGAAAATATCTCCTGCTAGGGAGATATCAAACTGTCTATCTGGGTGCTCATATAGCTGTGTTCACTGGGAACATCCAGTGTACTGAGGAAGGTTCTAGAATAGGAACCACATGCCTGCCCTATCAGAGTAACCTCCAATTATTTCTTGTCATCTCTGCCCCTCTCGCCCTGACTCAAGCCACAAGGACAGTTTACATGGATTGGCCCAGGGGGGCTGGAGCCATAGCACAGCAGGTAGGGCATTTACCTTGCACATGGCCAACCCGGGTTCAATTCCTCCATCCCTCTAAGAGAGCCCAGCAAGCTACTAAGAGTATCCTTCCCCCATGGCAGAGCCTGGCAAGCTCCCCGTGGCTTGTTCGATATGCCAAAAATAGTAACAACAAGTCTCACAATGGAGACGTTACTGGTGCCCACTCAAGCAAATCGATGAACAATGGGAGGACAGTGCTACAGTGATACCATGGCCCAGAGGGGCCTGAAATACTTTCCCAGCTCTAACCTGGCCCACCCTGACTTCAGTACAGTAGCCACCACATTGCTGCCCCCAGAACTTTCCAGTGGAACAAAACACAAAGTCCTAGCAGTACGATCTGTTATACCTGCACCCTCCCCTGCCACACTGCTGTCTACCACCCTCTCACTGTCTCTAACCTCCCCCAACACCAGCCCTAAGTATTCCCTTGGGGTGCCCACACCAGGCCCGCCACAGGTCACCTGCCTTAAACTTCCTCTGCAGACATTTCCTGATACGACATTGACCCTTTAGCTGCTCACTCCCACTCTTTCCTTTCTGCTTTATTTTCCCTCTGCACTCCTGATGACAAGCAATGCCACCCTTTTAACTAACATTCATTGATGGTCTGGTCCTGAACACTGGGGTGAACATCCTGTGCTTTTATTCTTTTGTGTCTGTTACATCCCCAGAACTGAGAAGCCAGTGGGCATTTCATAAATATTTGTTCACTAAATGGATAAGTGGACCTATTATGGAGTTGCTATGGAGAACTAAATTATCTAGCATATGGAAAGCATTAAGAAAAAATGCTTAGCGTGAAATTATTATTTAGTAAATGTCAGGTGTTAATAAAGTTACAATAGCTATGAATGAATGATAACTTTTAACACAGAAGACTATTACTTTATCAGGTAGTGGAAAGAGGACATATGGCCAAGCCATACAACTTCAATATTTTTATTTAATTTGCAAGGGAAGCTTGAGGAGGTCATTGGGATGTCATGTGCGCCCTCTTTTCCCATTACCTGGAAGGTTTAGTAGAATCCACCCCAGACCTTGCTGCATTTAGAATCACCGAGCTTTTCTTTTTCAAATAAGATTCATTCCCACTGGTAAATATTCTGACGGGAGCGGCCGATAATGAATCCCAGGTCTTAGGACTTTGTGATAGTTCTGGGTGATCCCAAAACACAGCAATTTGGGAATCAGCCTCCCCCCATCCATCTTCACAACTCGGAATTAAGAGTTACACCAAGCTGGGCTCAGGTCCGTGCCATACCTGTGACTGTTAGGAGCCTTCTGCATTTCTGTGCTCTTCCCTAGCTCACTGTGTCTGCTGTGGATGATGGTGTAACACCAGAGCTCAGAGTGGACTCTATAAAGCTGCCACTTTCCCTTTGAGCCTTTGTTCCATCTGTGGCAAGGAGAAGAAACTTGTGTAGAGCTGGAGCAATATCGTAGAGGAGATGAGAGAGCAGGACATTATTCACCGCCTAAGGTGGCCAGATTCTCACACACCCGCAGGCCATCATATGTCTTGCAGGCATTTTACAGGTCTGTGCCAGGCAGTCAAGTTTCCAACCAGCAGACGTGCTGTGGTAGCCTGAGCACTTCTCTGTATTTTTCCCTATTTCTTCCCTGTGTCTCAGCCCTCCATGTTGGGATTCTCTCATACCCCACTCTGAATACTGGGACTTACCCTGCATCCATTGTGCTGTTTTAACCAGTCTTGAATTGAAACTTTAGACAAGCATTCTTTAGCCATCAGTCCAGTGGTTGAAGGGAGATGCTGGTCTGCTGGTGTAGACAGGTAGAAAACCAGTACTCTGCTGCCATGGTAATAACAGCTACCGCTAGACCAGAATGCAGCACTAGGGCTGGTCCGCAGGTGTAGACAGGTTGAAACCATTACTTTAGACTGCCAGGACTCTCCATGCAACCTTCTGCTCAACTGCTGCATGCCAATCATCTGTCTGAGCGTGGTGGCCCCATCTGATCACAGAGTCCAGACAAGGATGCACAACTTCCCACTGGACAGCCCCTCCAGCCTTGGCCCTGATGCCACCGCTCTGAGCTCAGACATTTCTGGAATGGTAATAGGGCCCAGCCTTGGGCTGAGCTCTGCATTCTGCTGTTTTGAAGTAGAGGCCCTGATTTCATTTTGCATGGATGTTGTGACTTCTTTAGCTGCTCGAGCACCTGACGCTTCAAATCAGACGACCTGGTGCAAATCACAGCTGGATCGCACCCAAGCAAAGTATGACCTTGGCTCCACTGTTTCACCTCTCCCTGCCTCTGCCAAGGGGCGGTGGGTGGTCACACCACCTCCCACCTCCTTTTGAGGGGGCTTCTGAGGAAGGGGTGAGAGAGCAGATGCAGGCCAGCTCCGGGGCACCACATGTTAGTTCTCAGGTTAACACCTCCCTAGCTTTCCAGGTCACAAGCTGCTGAAGTGCAAAGACGTTTCCTTTCTGTTGCAAAGAACCTTTAAACAAGTCAGTGATACATGCCCAAAGGTCAGATCCAGGAGGGTGTTCACTGAGTTTTCTTAATTCTTGTTAATTCCACCGAAGAACAACAGGATTTCTCTTCTCCGCCTGGCTGTATTATATTTAAGCAGTGTGCTGTCCAGATGGTATCTAGAGCAACATCTTTCCAGGTATTTCAAAGTGATCCTTGACTAACTGAAGGAGACTCTAGCCTGTGTCATTGAAACATCCTTGGCATCTGTTATGTTAAGATTTCTGTCACCCTTGAACTTAGTGCTTAGAGAGGAGAAGGACAGGGAAGGAAAGAAATTGAGGGAAGAGAAAAGAACGACAAGTAATGGGTGAATAAGCATCAGGGCTTCAGTTATCCTGGTCAAGTGGTGAGGGGTCTAGCCATATATCCAAAACACAGACCTGGTAACACTGAAAACATGTGATCTAAGATCTTTGTAAGGGGCCTGTCAAAGTTACCGGAGTTGGATGGAGTGGGGGTTGGAGGCAGGGGGGGAATATGGGAACATTGGTGGACAGAAGTGGACACTGGTTGTGGGATTGGTGTTGAAATATTGTATGCCTAAAACTCAACTGTCAGTAACCGTGTAAATCACAGTTCCTTAAAAAATACTTTAAAATATTTCTGCTGTGCTCACTAGGAACTCTGCCTGGGAACAGCTGCCCTGGGTTAGGGTCAAGAGCAAAGACTTCCTTACAAAATGCAGGAGTTGGTTTCGGCTCTGACATACTGCTGGATCATTGATGGGACAGTGAGCCACTCTTTGGATGACTCTGTTTTTCTTTTTTGTATGTTTTGGGGCCACACCCAGCAGTGCTCAGGCTTACTCCTGGCTCTGAGCTCAGGGATCACTTCTGGTGGTGCTGGGGGGGGCGGGGCGCTGTGCAGTGCCAGAAATCCACTCTGGGTTGGTCACATATGCAAGTGCTTTCCCATCTCTTCTGTCTCTCTGTTTCTTTACAGAGAAAATGTAGCTAATAATACTTAGTCTGTTCTTTCATCCTCATGGTAGTTTTGTAGCTTAACTGCATTGTTTGTGGAAGCGTGTTGAAAAAGTCTGAAATACCATATGGCTTTTACAATCATATTATTGGTTATTGAAGTTTAGGTTCATTTAAATCACTGGAAAAAATCATCAGAAAATAAATGTGAAGAGTTAATCTCTCAACTTCTTTGGAAATGGAGAATTCACTTGACAGTAGGATAACCTGTCCTCACGCAAATAATGCTAATTGCTCCATTCCATGCGACCCAGGGCCCTGGGCACTTCCGGCTCAGTATCCAAGAACCTCCCAGGTGCTTTGTCAGCCTTATAGGTGGAGTTAGGTAGTATTTGTAGATTCAGTTCTTTATCGATGATTCACTGTGTGCCCGACATTTATCTAGGTACGAGAGATAAATGTGTGAGAGAAATTAAGTTTCTTACTCTCGTGAAGCTTTACCTTCTTTGTGGGAAGCAGAATAATTTTTAAAAAGCATAAAGTGCACATATCCCATAGCATGATAGCAAGTGAGAGGTGGACAGGGGAAAGAATGAAAGCTTTTAGATGAAGGAAATTGTAATGAGGAGCAGGGTTGTGATTTTATTTGGGGGGAGGGTGGGGTTTGGGGCCACACCTGGCTATAATCAGATAGACTCTTGATCACTCCCAGGGTGCTCAGGGGACCAAACTTGGGGTTGGCTCCATGCCAGGCAAGTGCCTTAACCTCTGTGCTGTCGATTCCAGGGTTGCAGTTAGAAAGTTTGTGGACAGAATAATAAGACCACACTTGAGACAGTTGTAAGTTGGCATGCACACGTCAGAAGGGCAGGCATGCCAGGTTGGGGGGACCACCAGTTCAGCGTGAAGGACAGAAGTAATTCTGATTTTGGGTGCTGGAGCAATAGCACAGCGGGTAGGGTGTTTGCCTTGCATGCAGCCGACCCAGGTTCGATTCCCAGCATCCCATATGGTCCCCTGAGCACCGCCAGGAGTAATTCCTAAGTACAGAGCCAGGAGTAACCCCTGTACATTGCTGAGTGTGACCCAAAAAGAAAAAAAAGAAGTAATTCTGATTTTCAAGGAACCAGGAAGCCATGGATAGCATGACTGGGGCATACCTCTCCCCCACTCCCTCCCGAAGAGAATAGAGGGCTGAAGCCCAGAGCAAGTGAACTTCCCAGGCATTTCCGGCTGCGAACACTGACACTTCTTTCTTCTCTCCTGTGCTTCTCCCACAGTCACATGACACAGGCGCTCCCATTTGATGACCCTCGATTTGAGAGCTGCCAAATCATACCTCCTGCTCCCAGGAAGGTGGAGATGCGGAGGGACCCCGTACTGGGGTTTGGCTTTGTGGCAGGGAGTGAAAAACCCGTGGTTGTCCGCTCAGTTACACCAGGTAAGCACCCCTCCCCACTCCTTGGTCCCCCGAGTCTCTTGCACCCTGCCAGTGTGACTTCTGTTGTGTTTTCTGTTTTACTCTTCTAGGCTGGAAGGTAAGTGGGCTGGAAGCGTCAGGCTAGAAGAGTGATAGAATTGGCTCATTAAGTCTGGGGAGAGGGTTGATTTTTGTGTTTTCTTTTGAGGTCACACCCAGCAATGCTCAGGGGCTATTTCCAGCTCAGGTTGCATTGCTTCTGATGGTGCTTAGGGACATGAGGCACTAGGGATTCCACTCAGGTCTCCTGCATGCCAAGTTTGTCCTCAGACATTGAGTTCTCTCTGGCCCCTCACTTTATATTTTTTTTGAAGTAAATAGATTTTATTTGGAGGATTTTTAAGGTGTGGAGTGTAGGGGAAGGAAAGAGAGAGAGAGAGAGAGAGAGAGAGTAAAGTTAGACACGAAAGCATGAAAGTACAAATCTCAAGAGGGGAGATGCGGGCGACACATGTGCTTGGACACCATGTGTGCTCAGCCACATGAGCATAAGCACACATGGGCTCAGGCAGCATATGAGCCTCACATTATATTTTAAGCAGTCAATTCCATCCTAGTTGTACAGTACAGCGGGTAGGGCATTTGCCTTGCACGTAGCCGACCAGGTTCGATTCCCAGCATCCCTGAGCACCGCCAGGAGTAATTCCTGAGTGCAGAGCCAGGAGTAACTCTTGTGTATCACCAAGTGTGACTCAAAAAGACAAAAAAAAGGAATGTACATAAAAAGAAAGGACTGTATACTCTATGCACTTCAGTCAGCTCATGACAAAGCTTTGGTGTGCAAAGGCAGAAGACCTTTTGAAGTCCTAATAGGATTTAGTCATTGGAGAGGTCGGGTACATTTACAAAGATGCACCATCTTTATTCCACTAGACCAGAGTTTCCAAACTTATGTGGCCTACTGTTCCCTTCTTTGGAAAAAATAATCACTCAGCACCCTGCCCCCCACAATCTATTTTCTTAAATAAACAAGGAGATGTGCCTCTCAGTTATACCTGAGGATCCTACATCACCCCCTCCTGAATCATCTGCTCATTGAAGAGCAGCATCACCCACTTTAGGAAAGACTGCAGTACATTTTCTTCTCTGTTGCTATTGGGATGGACCAAGCAACTGACATTGGCCAATGGCACATCCGCAAAGATGATATAAGCAAAGACTTAATTTCCTTGTGCCATTGAGCGGGTTTCCGGGGCTGCTGCCATGGTCAAAGAAGCAAGTGTTGCTCAGTGACTGATCCTTTCATCCCCAACCACCAAATGAACGTGTGGGACAATTTGCCTGCACCTTCCAGCTAAGTAGAGGATGATGTGTGAAAATAAACTACCCTGCTGAGTCTGAGCGACAGCAGCTAATCTGCAGTCATCCTAAAGGCCTGGAAACATAAGAAGTAATTATTGGACACCCTGTAGAGCTGTGGGGTGATTTGTTATACAGCAAATATTAGCTGATAGAGAAAGTGACAACACTCTCAAATTCTTAACTTTCTTAGGTTCAGTAGTGTGACGGGACAATGAAAGTGTTTCCACAGTCATTCTCATCAGTGCTCAAAGGGTCTGCTGTAAACCACTGAATAGAATAGATGTGATGTCAGCAGTCTAAGTAAACTGCCTTTGTCTACCCAGAAACATTGAACCTTTCTGTTATATAATATATGTACTTATCTACTTGTTTTACTTATCAAGGAGAGGGAACAGTACCCCAAGCAGGGGAGCATACAGTGTCAGGGATTGAACATGCGGCTACTTCATGCAAAGCATGTGCTCCAACTCTTTGAGCCATGTCCCTGGCCCTATCTGATTATTTTAATGCCATTCTATTAGATATAGTTTTTTTTATTTTTTATTTTTTGCTTTTTGGGTCACACCCGGCGATGCTCAGGGGTTACTCCTGACTCATGCACTCAGGAATTACTCCTGGCGGTGCTCGGGGGACCATATGGGATGCTGGGAATCGAACCTGGGTCAGCCATGTTGGCTGTGTGCAAGGCAAACGCCCTACCCGCTGTGCTATCTCTCCAGCCCCCTGGATTTAGTTTTAGACAAAGGAATTTTTCCTCTATGCGATTTCTCTCCAGGATTTTGCAAACAAGTAGCTGTGTTCAGTAGTAAATAGTGTAGTCAAGAGCACAGACTGCCTAGTTTTGAGGGATTTCAATCCTGCTTCTGCCCCATATTTGAATTTTGAATTTCTTTGGCAACTCCCTGCATTTCAGTTCGAGGTAGTTTCTCTACATTGTCTGAAGGAGAGTTATATTAACATATACCTTATGGAACTAGGGGAGAATGATAAACACAGGAAGAGTACCTGGCATATACTTATCATTCCAGAAATGATGATGATCTAACTTTAAAATATTTAGCCAGTTGAATCTTTCCATTCAAGAAAGCCAACTAGAGAGCTTATAAAAGCGAGCTTTTGTAGGATTTTCAAATTGTTTTCATTTTTCATCCTTTTGACCTAGTATTCTCCAGGGTGAACATTGCAAATCCAGTCAGCCACTTTGAAATTGTCCAGGGAAGAATATATTTCCTTTTCATGGCCACCACTGCCTGGCCATACTTCTTATTGTCAGCTGAGCTTTTTCCCGTCATTAGCTGTGGATCATAGTTTAGTTTTCTCTGGGAGGGTTGAACTTGATGCAACTGAGAATTTTATTTTCTAAGGAAAATATTTGTTGCTTTTTGGTAATAAAATAATACCCATGCTTTAAAAGAAAAAATACCTATAAAGCACCCACTTCTACCACTGAGAACTAGTCATGACTGATACATACACAGAAGATCTCTATATAGTAGCCTTTCCTGGCATCCAGTCACATATGCTATGTATTATGTGTATCATATATTATGTGAGCTTCTATGATGTGTGTTCACATATTTTTGTCCTACCTAGGAAGATATTTATCCCATTTTGTAACAGTTGGATATTTAAACAGCTCTGATGATGAGACTCTCCACAGTATGTGGTCTCCTTGGAGCTGACTAGAAATTTAAGTCTTGTTTTTCATTTTCTTGGATTGTCTCAGTGTTCCTTCATCCTCTTTCCTTCCTTGCCTTCAACTTTTTTTTTTATCTAACATGAACTCCTGCTGTTATGTAATTTTGAGAAGAGGAGAAAAACGTGAAAACAGAGGTCAGAGAGTACTGTTTCTGGCTATTTTTGTGAGTGACAACTCTGGTCAGATCATCTTGGTCTCTCATAAAAATTGTGCTACTGAAGTCCCAGGTGGTCTTGGTTACATGAGCAGATTTTTGATACAAGACAACTCAGCCTTCAGAGGAAAGAGCACAAGACAATACTCCAAAGTATGCCACTCTAAAGTATGCTCCATTTTTCAAGGGAAGTTTTCTTCCAAAGTCTGAATTTAAGTGGCTTGATTAAACGACCTTTTCATGTGAGCAAAAATCATCGGTCAAATTTATGAGCAAGTGTGACCATTTATCTGCGGTGGTTTTCTCATCAGAGTAGTTAACACCCATTGTGCAATTACTTTGAAAAATTTTTTTGGTTTTGATCAGTATTTGATTTATAGCCCTTTGTTGAAGTGATTGCACATAATCCAATGCTTACAAAAAGTCATTCAGCTGATTGCAGAGTTCCTTATGTGTGCAAACACTGAATCTCAGTTCCCACTTTTCGAGATGATGATTTTCTCTCACTGACATGGAGACAGTTTGAGGCTTTCCCCTACTCTCTCAACTCCTCAGAAAGCACACAGAAAGTCCCCACTTCAGGGACTTGTGTGCCTAGTATCTGGGTGGGCAGAGAACAACTGAATGACTTTGAGTTCCATGCTGTGATTGTGGAGCATTTGTTTTGGTTACTAAACAAAATCATAGGAATAATATGTGAAACACCATTTAAACTGTATCTATTCCCCAAAGATATACTTCCAGAAATAAAAGCTCAAATGATACCCTATATTCTGCCATAACATTCTCTTAGGAGATAATTGGATTAGACAAGTGAAGAAATTCCAGAAACAACATATTTGATTTTAGGTCTTATTTAGTACATGTAAAGGCTTTGTGTAAATGTGGCCTCAATTGTCCAGAGACTTGGGAGTCACCAGGTTTTGGATGATGGACGCAAGCTTGAAAGAGATGTAGATGTTGTCCGCGCTGTACCTGGGCTAGTCCACAGACCTCAGCTGAGATCCAAGCCTCCTCTTCTACCCAGTGAACCTGAGCAATCTCAGGGAAAGGAAAGATTGTAATATTAAAGGAGTTTTCAAAACATGAAGCGCTGTGCCTTATAAATGATCAACAAATATTAGTTGCCTTCCTCTTCATTGAAACTCAGTGAAAAGAGAATAATGCAGCTCCAGAGATCGGGAGCCGGCAGGCAATAACCTCTGGGCTGGATGCTCTCCCATTGATCACGAACAATGTCACCTACCACCGACCTCCAACAAAGTCACTCTGTGACAGAGCTGGAGCAAAACCAAAGCAAGAGTCCTCTGTAACTACATGCGAGCACAGACACAATGATCCCAAGCACAGAAATAACCCAACACCCTTGTCTCCTGGCTGTTACAAGTGACTGCTGCCTCTTCACCAATTCCAGCTTTAGCCCTGATTCTTTTCTTTCAGTTTCAGACAAGTCCTAAATGCTGGTATAGAATTATTACCAACTCTGATTCCTCCCTGCCCCTCCCCCCTGAAACCCAGCTATCAGACTAAATCCTGTGAGGGTTTACTAATACTTAGAGGCTGAATTATCTTGCAGACCCCAGTGTGAAGTCTCTCAAGTTGTAAGAACTAATTAATGCAGCTTTGTTCAAATCCGGGTGCTCTCAGATTGTTACAGTTTTGACCATAGGGTATCAAAGCAACTGGTTTGCACCGTATTTTTGGGTTTTTTTCTTTTTTTTTTTTTGGAGCCACACCCAGCAGTACTGAGAGCTTACTCCTGCTTCTATGCTCAGGCGTCACTCTTGGCCATGGTCATGGGACCAGATGGGATGCCTGAGACCAAACCCAGGTTGGCCCCATGCAAGGCAAATGCCCTACCCACTACACTTACTCTCTGGCTTTGTGGTTTGCTTCCCATTAGGAAATAGTTTCTTTTAGGGGCCTCCATGCTCTGAGTGTCATTGGGTCACCCACAGTATGAGCTCCTGGGAGCTTGTGAGAAATGCCCATTGTTACCCCTCACCTACTCAGTCTTCTGGCTAACGTGTTCAGTGGAGAGAAATGCTATGAGCCTGCAGAGTCTCAACTTTGTCTAGGGAGTTGTAGCAAAAACACTGATGACTGAGTCCTACTCAAGAAGATTATATCTAATTGAATCCAGGGTGTAGCTTGTCCAAAGCTCCCTAGTTCTTTCTCCCATGCAGCCAAGGTTAACAAGGACTGATGCAGAGAACAATCAGAAGTGGCTGGCATCCCATCAGTCTTCTCGGGTGCTGATTTCTTCTCTGTCTCCAGGTGGCCCTTCGGAAGGCAAACTGATCCCGGGAGATCAGATTGTGATGATCAATGATGAACCGGTCAGCGCTGCACCAAGGGAGCGGGTCATCGACCTGGTCAGGTAGGTAATTCCCCTGGGCTCTTGATCTGTAGCAAAGATGGCTGCACAGCAGAGACCTCAAGCAGCAGAGGAAGAACTTCCTGCTGGCCAGAAACACAAGCCCAGCCCTTCACTAACGTCATATAAAAGCACATGTTCCTGGCATAAACACCTGGTTCATCCTGGGTTACCATTCACATTGCTCATGCTTCAGCCTGAATGTTCTCTGACTCCTATTTCTGTTGCTCTCTGCAAAGGCTGTGGTTTTTTATTTTTTACCTTACAAAATTACTAACACATTGATATTCCATAATCAAGGAGATCAAAACGCAATACCTGAATCCGTGTAACTGATGAGTAATTTTATATACATAATCCCATGGATACACAAACATACGGTTCACTGCTTTTTTTATACTTGACTGAGTGATTCATTACTGAATTTTGAAATCGTCAACCAAGGCAAAAGGATAATTAGGTCAAAGCTAGAAGAGTTTTTAAAAGGTGCTTGGCTTATTGGTTTAATTTTAGGATAGCTGTAAATAATTCGTTGTGTAATTATTTTAATGGGGTAACAGAAACTGATTTTTATGTGACGATTAAGCATTGGTCAAGAATGTCCTCAGAAGCGAACTGGAGTTATACTCCTGTGGTGAGTTAAGGGAGGGTGGGGTCTGTAGACATTTTCCAAAGGATGGTTTGTCAATTACATGGACGGGTGTTCCCTGTCGTGCTGCTTCGGGGTGGGAGATGGCGGTGGAATCCTGTATGAGAGATAATGGGGTGTGGTATTTGTCATTATAAACTTATCTTCTCAAGCAAGATGAAAGCCAAAGCAAGAGCTGTCAAAACCCTGGAAACTGAGAAGGGAAGCTTTTTAACACGTCTGCTCTCCCATCAAAAAGTACATCTCCTATCAAAAAATACATCTGTCTGCATGCTGAAAGTAGGCTACAGACCGAATGATGGTCATTCAGTACCTCTGTTGCAAACCACAACACCCATAAGGAGAGAGAGAGAGCAAAAGGGAATACCCTACCACAGAGATGGGATGAGGTGGGAAGTATACTGGGATCATTGGTGGTGGAGAATGGGCATTGGTGGAGGGATGGATACTCAATCATTGTATGACTGAAATGTAAGTGCGAAAGTTTGTTAGTTTATATCCCACAGTGATTCATTTAAAAAAAAAAAAGTACATCTGTCTTGGGCTAGAGCAATAGCCGAGCAGGTAGGGCATTTGTCTTGCATGTGGCCGATCTGGGTTTGATTCCTCCACCCTCTCGGAGAGCCCAGCAAACTACCAAGAGTATCCCACCTGCATGACAAAGCCTGGCAAGCTACACGTGATGTATTCAATATGCCAAAAGCAGTAACAGCAAGTCTCACAATTTGTTGTGAGACATTACTGGTGCCCGCTTGAGCAAATCGATGAACAACGGGAGGACAGTGCTACAGTGCTACATCTGTCTTTGGGAAAGGTATCCAGTGTTGTGCTTCTAGGGGTTTCTAGAGCAGGTTTCTTTCCCAAGCTTAGTTCAGTCGCTGCTTCATGAGAAATGCAGAATAGCATTTAGAAGACAGCAAGATGGAAGTAGGAGGGCTTCACTTTTAGGATGCCAGCACAGAAAGCTTGATTATCCAGCTTTGGGTCGAACACAGTAGAACCTTCACAGCTAGCTGACAAAATGCTTGTCCTGGTGGGCCCTAGAACTCTCCCAAACACCATCCGCTGTGAATGCTGATGCACAGGAGTGGTCACTGGATTTCTTGCATCAGGATCCAGGCCAGGGGCTACCCCACCCTTCTGTGGACCTGGAAGGCAAGAACTAGGGCAGGATCTCTGTATATTTAGGCCCCAGGGGTTTAGCAGGAAGCTGCAATGTTGCCATTTGGAACCACTTGTCTCTTTTGATGCCCAGTGGAGGTCAGCAGGCCTCATCCAGACCACTCAGTGTGGATTCTGAGGTGCCGTGTTGGAACTAATGGCAGGTCACTTGGTCATCTTGTTCTTCCCTAATCACCCTTCTCTGTGACCAACCCTATTGGTTTTTGTGCCCATGGGATGAGGGAAGAAAGAAAATCTCTGCCTTTGTTTAGCTTTACTTTGGACTGAGACAAGACAGTGGCAATGATATCTCAACCGTGATTCCTTCTTAACAGCCTTCCAAGGGGTTTCTTGAAAGATATTTTCCCTTCTGGTTTAAGGAAGGGAAGAGAAACTGGTGTTTCCATAAACATAAAGTAAACATAAACATAAATGTGTACTAAAAACTCAATGAAGGCTTATATAGTACAGCCAGGCATGTGTCTTATATGCACCCTACCCAGGTTCAATGACCAATACCTCATATGTTTCCCCAAGCCCTACCAGGAGTGGTCCCTGGGTGCAGAGCCAGGAATAATCCCTGAGCACTTTGGATGTGGTCCCAAAATCAAATAAATAAAAAAATCAGTGAATATTTGTGCAATCTATGAGCTGACATATTATTGTCTAGTTCTCATTCTTGGAGAACCCGACAGGCTACCAAGTGTATCCTTCCCACATGGCAGAACCTGGCAAGCTCCCCGTGGCGTATTTGATATGCCAAAACCCACTAACAATAATGGGCTCATTCCCCTGACCCTGCAGGAGCCTCCAATGTGGCACTTGCTAAAATCTCAGGGCTAGGATGAACGAAGATGTTGCTGGTGCCAGCTCGAGGAAATCGATGAACAACGGGATGACAGTGATACAGTGATACAATGAGTCGATGAAAAGAGGGCTCCCTGAGGGCAACCCCCAAGCCAGATCCAACCTGTATTTCACACAACCACTGAGCTAAGAAGGAATTTTATCATTTTAAGCGGGTTGGGAAAATATGTTTAAAGACGCTCTGTGATCTAGGAAAGTCACATGAAATTCATATTTCAGGGTGCACCAATAAAGTTTAATTTGAAACCTGCTATTGGTCTGAGTCTGAGTCAGCTTCTCCCAGTGATACTGTTGGCCCACAAAGGTGAAAATATTTGCATTCTGGCTCTTTCCAAAGTAATGTGTTTTTTTTTTCTGGCCAGAGAGATAGTACAGGAGGTAAGTCACTTGCCTTGCATGCAACTGACTCCAGTTTGATTCCTTGGCACTACTTCTGCCTCCCCGCTTCCCATCAAACACTATCAGTGTCATTCCCGATTACAGAACGAGGAACAATCCCTCAGTAGCACCAGATCACACACACACACACACACACACACACACGCGCGCGCGTGCACACGCACACACACAAGTGTTTGTCACTCTGCTCTGTCAGAGACAATAAAGAAAAGTAACCTGTTGCATTTTCCCCTGGTTAAGCCAAATTTAGTCTCAAATCCCAATGATCATCACAGATCATTTCTCTCAACAGGCTTACAGCCAGCTTCCCAGACACCTGGTAAAGTTGTGATGATTTGGGTAATTGGAAAAGGTGGGCTTATTTCTCTATTTAGGATTTGTGGTCGTACCCAGCAGTGCTCAGGCCTGACTCCTGGCTCTATGCTCAGGGATCACTGGTGGTGGGGCTATCTCAGAGGATTTGAACCCAAGTTTTCCTCAGGCAAGGCAACTACCTTAATTCACTAGATTATCTCTTCAGTCCCAAGTGTGTACTTTTAAAGCTTCAGATGAATAATCTTTTCTCTTCCCAAGTGGTGGTCCCTCTGGGGCCGTGCACGATCCAGAAGAGAGCTAGAACCCTCTCTTTGGGAATCTCTCTGGAACTCCCTTTTTTGGCATTGGTGACTACAAGCTGGCATTCCTGTGAGGCTCAAATATGGGTTCTAGGTAGCAGGAAAGACAGCCCCTCCCAGCACCCTTAACCATGAAGTAGTATTGGCACAGGCCTGGGTCCATCTTCTTTGCAAGCTTGTTGCTGGTTTACCTGAGCAGACCCTTGCATAAGGCGCTGTTAGATCAGATTCTCTTTAAGATGTGTGCTGGACCCTATCACAGAGGGGAGGAACCAAATCCCGGTCTCCAGACCACGGTCCACTTCCTGCTTTCAGCCTGCCCAGCAGACAGTGAGTGGGGTGCTCCTTAGCAGGAGCAGAGCATGTTGGACTTCTTAAAGATTCTGCCTGGCCCAGGGAGGGTTCACTGGTAAGGCACTTGCCTGGCCTGAGCACTTCCCCTGGTGCAAATCCTGGCACCGCTGGGAGCAAACCCGAAGGCACCAAGACAAGAGTGGCCCCCAAGCACCTCTGCTTGTGTTCCCCAGCCGTGAAAATTCTTTTCATTTCAACTTACTTCAGAATTGGTATAATCCCAAGAATATAAATATATCTTTATACAAGTAATCAGGAAAAGGGGCCAGAGAGATAGTCCACTGGGTAGGGTGCTCACCTTTCACCAGCGACCCGGGTCCAATCCCTAGAATGTCACATGGTCTTCCAAGCCTGCTAGACGTGATTTTTGAGCACAGAGCCAGGAGTAATATATAAACATCTATAGGTGTGGCCCCATCCTCCATGCCCCCCACCCCAAGTAATAGCTTCTTTATTTCAATCAAATAATTCTGTGTACAGTGGCATGTTCTTCCCTCTCGGAGAGCCCAGAAAGCTACTGAGAGCATCTCGCCCACACAGCAGAGCCTGGCAAGCTGCCTGTGGCGTATTCTATATGCCAAAAAACAGTAACAATAACGGGTCTCATTCCCCTGACCCTGAAAGTGCCTCTTATACGGCAAGTTGGCAAGGATGAGAGGAGAGGCAGCTAAAATCTCAGGGCTGGGATTAATGGAGACATTACTGGTGCCCACTCTAGCAAGTCCATAAACAATGGGACGACAGTGCTACAGTGCAATGCATCCATCCATCTATCCACTCACCCACCCACAACGGCATGCAATGCAGTTCACAGGGAGGAAATGCTGTTGACTGTGGAGTTCTTATTGTAACCAATACCTTCAATCTCATTAAACCATAGTTTTGAAATAACATTTCTTACTAATGAAACAATTTGTGCATTAGAAAAAAATTTGTGTCTTCCCATCAGTTTAGTCATC